GCGCACACAAGACAAACAAGGAGGTAGTTTGCAGCTGTGGCAGACTGACCAAATCCTGAATCTGAAAGACCAGCAATTTGATGGGCACAGGCCAAAGAAATGCTGACAGCTATGACCAGTAAAACAGGGTTATTCATAAAGACAGCAGCAGTGCCTATGATGAAGAGGGCTAAGGTAAATGCTGCAAGGCCAGGGATCAGAGAGGATTTTAGTTCAGAGAGTGGCAGTACACTCTGTCCTATCAGGATGTAGACCAGACCAGAGCCACACCAGAGAGCAGAGATGGTCAGACACAGAGTGGAAAACAACTGGGAGTGAGAGAGACTGTGACGAACTCCTGGAAAGAGACAAGGTAGGGTCAGGAGCCTGGAAACAGGCAGAGAATTCAAATGTGTGTAGGAAAACATGTTGAAAACAAACCTGTGTAAGCGACCAGGGCTGCGATGATGAGGAGTAAAATGCCCAGTGCAGAGTGAGGAATGAAGGGTTCTTCAAGCGAGCTGGCATAGCTGTTCACCAACAGCAGGAGGGAACCTGGAAGTCAATGACAATTAATGTGAATATCAAAAAAACATAAAAATAAACCTATTTTTGAATAATCTTTTAAAAAGAAAAGTAGAAATAGATTTTACAATAGCCACAGTAACAATGTCTGTTAAGCATACCAAGTTTTCCATTAAAATTATATTGTTTATATTTAAAAAAGACAAGATGTTGAATGATGCATGTCTTGACAGTAGTAAATCTGACATTTCTATATTGAATTTAGGGTGATAATACAAAAAGTGGAAATATGTTTGACAAACATTACATTTATGTAGACCTTTGCAGTAAGTCAGAGGACAAAGTTTTATAGTTTCATAGATTTTTTCAGATGAGTTTACACTGAATGCTTTCTAGTAAAATTGAAAACCAACTGTAATTTTAAGGCACGTTTATTTACATAGAATATTTGATTAGAAAGACAATTTAAAGAGCTGTACATGAGAAGAAAAAGAAAAGTATATTGCAGTGGCATAAAGGAAACATAAATAATTGAAGCGAATAAAAACAAAGGATTAAAATGAGAATAACATTAAGAAAATGATTAAAATGATTAATCAAATATATATATATACATATATATATATATGTATATATATATATAGAAAGAAAGAAAGAAAGAAACAAACAAACAAACAAACAAACAAACAAAGAAACAAAGAAACAAACAAAGAAACAAAGAAACAAAGAAAAAAACAAAGAAACAACGAAAGAAACAAAGAAACAACGAAAGAAACAAAGAAAGAAAATTAACCATTGACTTTGAAGTTAAATGTTATTGATGAAATTGAAAACATTTTGAAATCATAATGTTTCACAAGTTTTCTTTTTTTTATGAACGCCATTGCTTTTAAGACATAATAAATGATCTTCTAAACTTTGTTGTACTGTATATTTTTTTCCCTCACTTGTGCTCAAAAATTGGGAGAAACGTATTATGATAATTCATGTTTTGGTTTAAACCTGTCTTAACCGAGTAAGTGATCAAATCTAAATATATGACAGGATGTAAAATGAGGGGAAAAAATACATTTATCAAATTGCAAACACTGGCAATTTATCTTATGTGAAAGGCAATCACACATAAACTTCCAAAAGGGCCTGATTGCTATTTTAGTTTAAATGACAAATGTAGGCTTACTATATGTATACTGCAAAAAAGCCCAACAGCACCAACAAAGGAATTAATGTAGATTTAAAGTCTTACCTCCTAAAATGCCCAGGATGCCGACGGAAACATATATTGAGTTGGACTGAGCCATAGTCACAGTGCTGCTCAGTAATGATGTGAAAGGGACTTTTATACAGATGTGAGTCACATAAATATACAGAACCACACGCCAAAGGTGGAGCGTTTCCTTCTCAGGAAATCATACAGCCCAATCAAAGCAGTGGGAGTCTCAGCTAATTTAGTTTTCCAGGGAAAAAAAGAAAAAAAACACAAGGGAAATGTGAAATCTATTTCTGAATATCTTTAGGCCTGATTATTATCATTGTTATTGTCATTATCATTGTTTTGTTGTTCAGTCATCTAACCCTGAGAGCCACACTTACATCCAATTGGATTAAAAAAGTACTTTTGAGTTTTGTTGTGAGGATATTAAACCTCAGTCACTTCCTTTTTCTGAACCCACTCGTCTGAGACACCTCAACATCTTTGCGTAATCGCCTATGGGACTTTAAAACAGTCATTATGAGTAAGGATTTTGTTGTATGTGTGTAATATGGGAGTGATGGGGTGGGAGGCGGGATGTTAGTGTTATAAAGCTGCCCTGCTAAGAAACCTGCCTTCAGTTCTCCCCTCAAGAGCTCCTGTTCGCACACAGGACAAAAAGGCCGGCTGCAAAACAAAATTAAGGTTAGTAATCTATGCTCTGGACCTGTTTGTCTTTTATTCTATTTAACTGTTATTAAACATCTAACAACATCAACCCCACATAAAACGAGGGTTGCATCATTTAACCCAAGTTCAGTTTTTAACCTTAAAAAGCTGTTTTAAAATGAGAATGTCTGTTATAGCTTCGCGTGAGTTACCATGAATAACCCATAACTTGGATTACTACACTAGTAACAATGATATAAACGTAAATATAGCTTAGTAGTGTGTCTTACGGCTAGTGCTCAGAGAAAAAGGTTCTGAATTTAAAAACAGACACCTAATTTACCATATTAAAATGCATTTTAAAAAATAACCTTTAAATACTTTACTGTTACTAATAAGAAAAAGACTTATGCACTCATATTTTATTTAAAAATGTGGCATTTACATTATCATAGGTTAAATATTTGCACATAAAACACCAAAACACAGGACTGTGAATGTTTTACATTAGCATGCAGAAGCCACCAGGTGGCCATTTATTTGTCCAATCCTTCTGTCTAGATGGGGAAACAGAAATTCAATCCTAATCATGAAGAATACATGAAATATTTCCTCTAATATCTTAATTGGTCTGTTGACTGGGTGAAGATGTCTTTTCTATTGTTTCAGTAATCATGGTGAAGCGTGTTGCAGTTATTCTGTCAGGCTGTGGAGTTTACGATGGTACAGAAATCCACGAGGCCTCAGCTGTGCTCATCCATCTGAGTCGTGCCGGAGCTAAAGTAAAAACCAAAATATTAGTATTTATCTATCAAAACAATGTGTTTATAGAAACCAGCAGTTGTTAACTTGTTTTTCGAAGATTTACCGTGTTGATTGTTTGACTCCAGTTGCAGATGTTTGCTCCAGATGAGGATCAAATGCATGTTGTTAATCACTGTGTGGGAAAACCTACAGAGGAGAAAAGGAACATTCTGCAGGAAAGCGCCCGTATCGCCAGGGGCGATGTGACGGATCTGGCCGAGCTGGATGTCTCAGCATTTGATGCTGCCATCATTCCAGGTGAGATTACTTTCTATAGACCCAGAGAGAGCTGTGAGAAAATCCTTTAATTTACATGTTTGCATGTAAGTTTTTTCTAAACAATAATTTGGGTCTCCATCAGGAGGGTTTGGTGTTGCTAAGAATCTGTGTGATTGGGCTGTGAAGAACAAGAACTTCACCATCCAGCCTCTCCTGGAGAAGCTAATCAAGGATTTCCATAAAGCTGGAAAGCCTCTGGGCATGTGCTGCATTTCTCCTGTCCTGGCTGCAAAGCTGCTGCCTGGCTGTGAGCTCACTGTGGGGCAGGACAAAGAGTGTGAAAAGTGTGTAAACATGTTCAGTGTAGAAAAACATATTTACTAGTTTCAGAGATATGTTGTGACCCTACAATGTGTTTTTATCTTCAGGTGGCCGTATGCTCAGACAGCTGGAGCTATGAAGGACCTGGGCTGCAAACATGTGAACAAAGAGGTGGATGAAGCTCATGTTGATGTCAAAAACAAGCTGGTCACCACCTGTGCCTTCATGTGCAATGCTCCCTTTCACAAGATCTTTGATGGAATCGGCGTTATGGTTCAAGAAACCCTGAAACTTGCCTAAAAAGATTGCTACTGTGTGATCAGTGCTATTTATATTGTCTGGGAATCCATGACTGGTATTTGGGAGTCACTTAAGAAACTGTCACAAAAACTGTATAATAGCATTGGTGATATTTTTCAAATGAATACAAGACCTTTAATTTTCCACAACATAGGCAAAAGACAAGTAGCCAATGACCAGCCTATTCATTGTGCTATTTGGAGTGCAGTGGGAAAAAGGTATTCAGCTGTACAGTCCAGTTAAATAAACGATAGATGGATTTCACTTCACTTTTATCCTTCAGGAAAGCTGTGAAGGTTTCCACATACCGTTACTCAAAACACTTACAGACTTTTAATAACAAGATACAATTCCATGAAATAATTCCTTAGAAACAGTCTAGCTTGTCAATTATTTTATTCTAAACACTCCCCAATAGTATGAAAAACCCCCTCTCCCTTAGACATCTTCTAGCCTTGCAGCACTGAGGCGGGAATGAAGGAAACTCAGCACTCATTAATTATTATATGTAAAAGTGAATTAATAGGAGATGGATTTTTTTTTCCCACCATGGTTCCACCCTTTTGATTATAAAAAATATATAATCTTTTTCTGTCATTGAAAAATAAAAAGCAAGAAGTCAACGATGATTGATGAGGTTCAGATGAGTAAGCAGGAGTCAGGTGTCTGTGTACTGGGAGTAAATCAATCTGTGGCATAAAATGTTCCCTTGGAAATGATTATGACAGCTAAAATATGTTGCTAATAAATAGGGCCCTGGAATCTCACTTCACTTTTTTCCCATCAGATATTTTTTATGCTGAGAATGTAAAAACATTATTATTTTTTAACTCTTATCTTCATAAGTTACCCTTTTTTCCTTAAAAGAGAAAAGGTCGAATCAATCGAAAAATAGACTCCTTTATGTATACAAAGTGTAAGTTAAATGTTTAAACCTAAACCTTATGAGTAAAAAAGACCAATCTCAATGTTTAAGGTTTGAATCTTCAGCCTTAGAGGAGAACACCTTTGTGATGAGTTAAAGCAGAGATTGATTTTCCTATCTGTAAATAACCCCCAGATTGATACTTTATTAGTCTTCAAAATGTATAAATTAGTGAGTAAGTAAGTAATGTTTATTTATATAGCACCTTTCACAGACACAGAGGTCACAAAGTGCTTCACAAAATTACAATACAAATAAAAATAAATTTAGTCATACATACATTTACATCTCCTAGAATTAAAATGCTTTGTTAAACAAATAGGTTTTCAGTTCGCTCTTAAAAAATCAACAGAATCATGTAAGTGCAAGGAAAGCGGGAGATCGTTCGAGAGCGCCGGCGTGACCACCTGAAAGGAGCGATCTCCCCTGGTCCTGTAACAAGTGCGAGGAACTATGAGCAGGTTCTGGTCCTGAGACTTCAGCCTCTGAGAGGCGGTATGAGGACACAACAAGTCTCTAATGTAGGATGGAGCCTGACTGTAAAAAGACAATTGTGAAGAAATTGTGCTTTACAGTGTTGATTTCAACTCTCTCAGTTTGTGATAATTTGTGTGTTTTATTTGAAAATGGAGTAATAAAAAATTATCATTAAAATTTATAAAAATAATTAAACTTTGATGTCTTATTATGACTGATCACACATTTTCATTTCACATATTGGTACAATGTGTTATAATTCTCCCCTTTTGGGACCCTGAGTTTTTGGTTTTCAGTTTTGTAGATTTTTGGTTTATTTTCCATTATATTCAAGCAGTCTTTAGTTACTCTCTGTTGCCCCCTTGTGCTTGTTTCCTTTCCCCTTAGCCTTCTTCTCCTTCACTCACACCTGCTCCATATTCAGCGCATTAGCCCATCATTTGTTCTGTTCCCATTATATACACCACCTTTTCAGTCACTCAGTGCTGGTTCCTTGTTGTTTTCTGGCTTAAACGTGAGTTTTACCTGAAGTTTTCTTGTCTTTTGGTTCTTGTATTTTGTATTTTTGCATTTTGGCTCAGTTCTGCCTTTAAATCTACAAGATTTTTTTTCCCTCAACAACCTCAACCCAACTGTGACACAGTGAGAAATAATTTATACCTATACTCAACTTTACTTATCACTTGGGAATACTCCTTCAGGGAAATTCTCGAAATTTAAACCACATTTTATGCTGTTTGCTTTCCTTGGATGTACATAATGTTTACAGGTCCCAAACAGTAATCTGTTAAATACTGTGTGTGGGTAAATTATGTTACTATTTGTTGGTCTAGTTTGACTGTCTATAGCCACCTATCTTACAAAAATAGTAATATTGATAATGTACTTTTTAATTTTAGAATATATTAAACCTTTAGAATGTGTCCCTATGTTGCCACTCTGTCTCTATGGGGTACCTGACTATCATGGAGTTTTGTTTTTATGAGAGAAAATTACCATTTTATCTTTCCTCAAAGGAGGGTTAACTGAAAAGTGTTTGTAGTAAGTGTAATGTTAGGATAATTATCATTGATGTGTGAGTCTATTGCACCTTGGTATTGGTTGCCTGTTGCGTGTCAGAACTGATGATTTTCACAATAGTTAATCTAATTAGGACAGTTCCTCTGTCTGGATATACAGTTATAATCTTCATTTTGTACATAGCAAAGATTTGGAAATGGAATGAGAGCAGTGTCCTTCAGCTAAGAACAAAGTGATAAGGCTGAAGCCATGGATGTCTATTCATCTGTTAATATTTATGATGTAAAATATTACAATGCGGCAGACCGGAGATGTATAAAATGCCTTTTTAACTGTTAATCGGGGACACTTCCTGAGAGGTGAGCCCGGAGGTGAGCAGCTGTCATTCTGTAAACTCTAAGCAACTTCTCTGATCTGAGTAAGATTACAATTTCAATCAGAATCTGTTGTCATGTCTCCTGGTTATTTAATACATATATATTTATGAAGTGTTATTTAAAGAGTTTGTCCCGAGTGATCTCTTTTCAGCGAAAAGAACCGAAGAGATAGAGCATCAGGGTGCATTCACACAGCCTATCTTTAACAGTACTATGATGTGGTCAAGCTTAACATGTGCACTACCTCATATTGAAATATTGATTGGGAAAAAAATACATTCTAAGTTTAAAACCTATTTATTAAAAGGTACAGAGTTGGCTTTCTACCTCGAGGTCCACTATTTGCTGCTCATTTAATGCTAACATTATCTTAAAATGTCCACCCTGTCATTGACCCCCCCTATAATGAAATCTCCTAGGACATGGCAGACATTCTACATATTAAAAAGGACATGTACGTAATTTAGGCTCATTACAGATAATGGTACTAGTAATGCGTTTACATTTCTATATGTAGCAAAGAGGACTGGCTGTGGATTTATTTTAGTGGTAAAATTATCAGAAACCCAAGTAGTAAGGTAATAATTTCTGTTTTTTGTTTGTTTTTCAAGGAATGAGTTCAAATCATGCTGAGAATGCAAAGGGATATCGAAAACGCCTTAATCCCAAGTTCTTTGTTCCTGCATTTTGGGTGTTTTATTTAGTGATTTGAATTCAGGTAAAGCGGATTATAACCATTCTGTTTGCTAATTTTCCCCATAGAGAAGTAATTTGTAAATCCTGTCATAATAGCTTTTTTTGAATAAACAAATCCATTTCCAGCCTATTAAATCATTTTATGTTATTCCACCACAAACAAATGAGGGCAAATTCAAAATTGCTTACAATTTTGACCTGATATCTTTGTTGTTAGATTTTTGGAAAAGAAGGTGCTTTTCACAGATTTTATGAAGAAACAAAGATTTTGCCATAATTTCATAAACATCTTGTTACTTTTTCCTTTAATTTGTTTAAATCGCTGAAGAGGACTAAAAATCAGCATTTAATTACACTTTTACATTTTTACTTTACTTTGTCAATAAGAAGACGTACACATGTTAACGTTTGATTGTACATTTGCTTACAGTTTATTTGTAAATGAAGCTGGGAACTTGACAAGTATGCATTTCTGATGCGAAGCCTCTATTTATTACAATAATAAAATTTTATTTATTTGGAAATGGGAAAGTCACCTTATGATGATATTCATATAATATTGATATAAAGGTGGGCATCAATATTTGTCCAGGAACGAAGAGTTAAAAGAAAGGTATGGTAAATGTTTTCTATGTTTTCTGTTTTTATTTTCAAATAAAGCAACATTAAAAAACCAAAAAGGATTTCATCATAACTTGAAAGAAGAGTATGAAAATGAATCTTTAGCAATGCAATCAGAGTTTAAAATGACAATATTCTTAAAGGTTTCAGCAGGAAAAAATATTTAACTATATCAAATCATTCACATTTCTGTATTTTTTCACTATTGATTTAATTTATCTGGCAATAAGTCTCCATTAATCATTCATGAGCTTTTGTTAGAGAAGTGGTGGAACTGGTCCACCCCACAGACCAACTCTGTTGCGTGAAATTTCCTGGGTCGATCAGGATCCTAAAAAGAAAAAAAAGAAAAAATATATTTATGATGAAAGACACACCCTAAAAAAAAAATTATAAAAAAAAATAAAATAAAAAAAACATAAGAAAATCTGAATGCATGGTAGTCTAACCTCTGTGGGGTAGGCACAGGTGGGAATATAACGAATCACAAAGCCACAGCGCCTCCTCTTGGAGGTGTTAGCATCACTTGCATGGACAAGAAGGCCGTCATGTATCTAGCAGAAAAAGTCATTTTTGGGGTTAGAAAAGTATTCCCAGTCTATTCTTTTAACCGCAAAGTTTTACTACATTAATGAACCCACCGACATCTGTCCAGCCTTCAGAGGACAAAGCACAGCATCATCCACCTGCACCAGCTCCTCTGGGATCTCCTGGTTTACTGACAGCAGGTTTCCTGGACGGGTTGCCTGGCGATGGGGCAACATGCCAGAGCAGTGGCTTCCTATAAGGGACAGATGTCAAATACGAGGGGCCTTTCATCTGAAATCCCAGTAATTACTTAAAAAATTTAGTAAGATTACAAATTTAGCTTTAGTACCTGGGATGACCTGAAGTGCTCCATTTTCTTTTTGTGAATCATCAAAAGCAAGCCACACAGAGAGAACAGGTCCACCAGCAATACCCCAGTACCTGTAAACACCATGATCTTTATCATGCTGTACAAAATAAGCATTTCATATCATATTTGACATATTATTTACTTCATATCCTGGTGCCAGGCCACATATGGGAGCCCATCATCATCAGGTTTGCCTTGGTCATCTTCAGTCTCCTGGACATCACCTGGTTTCACTGTCGGGTATTTACAGATAAATCTGGAGTCCAGCAGAATGACATCAGGGCCAAGGATGGCTTGGATCACCTGCAGGATACGGGGGTGTTTGGTCAGGTTCCTCACCCAGGGGTACTGAAGATGAACATTGTGGAGGCTGTACTGAGTGTACTCTGTGCCTGTTGGATGGATACACACAGATATGATGCTTTAATAGGAAAAAAAGATTCAGCTGCAAAAAATACAGTATCTAACAAATCAACAAGCTAAAATATTCCTGATCATAACATTACAGTAACATGAGATTCACACCAGAAGTTTGTATCAGCCCTGGAATTCCACACATTTAAATAAATTGAGACAGATAATTTTATAAATATTTCATATGTAATAAAGAAAAAGACAATGATACTAGAATACTAAGTCACCCTCTGACTTAAATCCAACAGAAAATTTACACAATGAACCTAAGATCAGAGAGCACAGAACCCTGAAGATATGAAGAAAGTTTGTGCAGAGGAATGGATTAAAGTCACATGTTGGAAATGCAAACAACTATTATCTTCATACTAAAGATGTATTAAAGGCATCATTGCCAGAACAAGCTTTTCTGCTGAACTTTAAATAAATGTCACGTTTCCTGTGTCACCCCACTTTATCACGCATAAACTCAATATTTAAGATTTTTGCAGATTTTGCAATTCTATATCCTTTAGCATTCTTTGCACCAGATTTTCTTTAACTTCTGTCTATATTACTCAACTTCTGACTATTTTCTTGAATTTCCCATCCCTTTGCATCCTACATACCAAATTCCTCCTCCAGCTTAGCGAAAGCCTCCCTGGCCTCCCTCAGTTCTGTCTCGTTCAGCACAGGCAGCGCTGAGAGGAAGCCCTCCTGTTTGTAGCTCTCCTGTAGTTTAGCTGCAGGTGTGTTCATCTTTCTGTTTCTCCTTCCAAGGTTGGTAAGAAACAAACTGAAGATGGAATTTGAAAGTTAAGCAAGGTTTAAATTCAGTGAATGTCATCAAGGATGTGTTTTCAAATTAAACTTGTTTGTTTCCCCACTTTTTAAATCAAATCCGGAACATTCACTTAAAAATAAGCACTACTCCACCCAGTTGTGCTGAGTTTGCAGAAATTACAACTCATTACGTGCTTGAAGGAAGTTCATTACTTAAAGGCATAAGGGGAAAAAAACTACATAAACAGTGTTTCAGTATTACTACCACAAATATATAGTAATGACAGCTGATTTCTAAATACTGCATAAGATGGTCAAAGGGTGCGCCCTCTTTTTTGCTGAAGTATAAAATGTTATTGTTCAAAGTCTAAACTAACTAAAGCATAAGATTTCTTTCCATACCTCTTGTCTGCTCAGTCTTCTCCTGCTCTCAGTGAGTCTGGATGCTGTTAAATTCATTTCTCTCAGCCTTTATATCCTCTACAGCATCATGGGAAACTCCTACCTCAGTGACAACGTCTAGGAATGTATTGTTTAACTTCATCCTTATTATCTACATCCTCATATTTCATAGAAAGAAACAATCGCTGTGACACGGTCGGTTTGGCAGCTGTTGCATCATCCAGGTGTGTGAATGATTTCTTTGTTGGAGGTATTGGCTTTATGTGTTATTTTAATTTGCTGTCAACTGTTTTACATTAACAGGATAAAACGATGTGATTCATAGGCATACACTTTCTGTTGAAATCTAGAAGAAAAAAAAAGGTCAAAGTAGTTTGTAGTAATTACTGTAACTAGTTTCACACCAGTTCCTCATCCCTACCCCACCCCCATTATCCAATTATTCACAGTTAGGGGAATTACATTGAACACAGGAGAAGTAAAAACACTCCCAACATATCAATAAGTTGCGTTATTAGGCTGTGAAGAAAGAAACACGAGTTGATGAAGGGTGTGAAATGTGACATGAAATTTCCCCAATTTTTATCAGTTTCTACACAACAACCCACCTTAAATTGCCTTCAGGTCTGGTTGAGCTTTTCATTATTGTGTATACTTCATGTTTGTGTGCTTTACTGGCAGTTCACCTAATGTCGACCTCGCCATCACTGTGTACACACTAAGCACTCTTAGTGCATCAGCATGGCTGGAATTTCAAACAAATTTCCTTTTACCATAAGGAAGTACTTCTATGAAGTAAATCCATAAATAAATTCTATAAACAAATTTAATAGTTCAATCAATATTTATCCACTTACATTTGTACTACATACATACATATATATATATATATATATATATATATATATATATATATATATATATATATGTTTTATGTATTTTTTTTCCTGTCATGGTGTTTTAAAGAGATCTGACCCACATGCAGGAAACCACTCAGAGTAACCAGAGTAAAAGTTTAACAGGTTTATTAGGAGTCCAAATGGGTTGGATCCAGGTGAACTCAGAGAGCTGGTGAACAGGAACTGGAAGGAAGAGGGGAAGTTCACAGAGGTTAGTTCAGGGTCGGAGGGAACTTTGAACGACGTCTTGCAAAAACAGAGGTAAACTGGACTCACGTTTGCAGAGAAAGGTTTCTTCCTAGGATCCAGTCGGTGTGGGTTTTTCCAGAGATAGAGTGGCTCGTTGGAGGGCAGACAGGTTTTGGTTTGGTTGGTTCCTGAGGAGCAATGGAGCTTAGATTTCCAGGAGTACTTGAACTGGACGTGTGGAGATAAATCCCCTGCTCAGTGTGAAGCTCAAACAAATCCTTCCGGGGGAGAAGGCCAATAATCCAGTATGCAGGATGACTTCCTGCCGAAAGGCAAAAGACAAAAACAATGTTAGAACTCAGGGAAACAAAGACTCAGTTATACTAATCTAAACTCAGCTCGGCTAGAGTACCCAAAACTGGCAAACACTCTGGCGTCGAAGTAGTGACAGTCTCCCCAGTGATGAGCCAACCAGCCGCAGGTGTGCAGGAGGACCAACGAGGACAGGGCACCACCTGGTGGTGGAGGGAGAGAAAAACACCAAAACACAACCCACACAGACTGGATTCCTAACATTTCCCTCCATTGCAGTACGTCACAGATCACATTACAATGACTGTAAAAACTTTTTCACTCCTAAATCATGACACCCCCTTATCCCCCCATTCTTAAGGTGGTCCTAACTGCCTTTTTGCAAACCCTTAATCTACAGGATGCTTCATCTGCTTCTTTTCTGCTAATCCAGCAATTAATTATTTTCCTATCAAGAATCTGTATGGATCAAAGTGTATTGTTAAACATCCACTCAAGGAAACTTTTTCTGGAGACTTCCTTCAACTCTATTTTACCAAGACGAACTTTATTGTTTTTAAATCCAGGAACACAGAAACCGGAAGCAGGAAATAGATAGAAATTTGCTTTACTATTAGATGGCCTGCAGCCATTTTTACTGTAACTCCAGGAAAGAAGAATATAATTGATTTAAAAACCATGTGAATTTATCTACAATAAACATTGTCTAAAAGTGGTAGTCAAATCTCTGTCACACTCAGCCTTTGTCCATGCTTAGTTATGACAACAGCGGATTCTTCCCTTAATAGCAGATCAGATCGCTTTTATTGACAGAGTAAAGTCAGAAAACTGAGATAACCAACATACATTTCTGATTCTGTGTGGTAAAATCAACAGGAAGTATATTGTTACATGTTTTTGAATCCAAAGACTGGCTTTATTTCTTTTAATACTTTTTATGTTACTTTAATTAAACAAAAAGCAAAAATATTTTTCATGAAAAAGTGGTACAAACCTTAAAGGAAAATTAGGTGTTTGTGTACTGTGTTACCGAAACATTGAAGAAAAAACTATTTGCAGTAATTATAGAACTTAGACTGTGTGCCTTCTCGATAATAAAGAACATAAACAAAAGTACTTAAAAGCAGTTTTAAGTCATACTTTGATTGGTATACTTCATAGAAACAAGGCAGTACCTGTGGATATCTTTTCTTCAGAGAAAATCAATATCAAGCAAAATATCAAATAAGCACAGATAAAATAAGAGATAATTGCCTTAATGATGAGGAGATAAATTAGCTTTATCTATGAATTAGTGTCTAGAATCTTTTCCCCCACGGCTGCATTTCTGGTGACACCATCACTTAGGGTTAGCCTTGATGATGTCACCAGTGTGACAGAACTCAGGAACGTAAACAATGAGGAGCAACATGTAAGAAAGCCAGGGCTAAGTAAGCGGGGTTTATTGTTTTGCTCAATTATCAATTATCACCCTTACTGAATGTAAACCAAGATGTTTGGTCTTAATAGATCAAAAGCGACTGGCGCGGCGTGTTGACGCCCGTACGTTGTGTTCAATGGTGTCACGTAATTTAGTGGGTCAAACACGACTCTGGTGTTCCCACAGCATACAGATCAGAACGGAGGCAATTTTTACGCAGGTCGATTGCCGAGTCATTTAACACGGGTAGACACGCGTCAGTGAGCTGTTAACACTGCGACTAAAAGCCGATTGTGTCCGGGTTAATCGAGCTTTTCGACCATTTGTGACCAAACGACACAAAACTAATATGGGTGAGTAGAACATGACGTAATAATTTAAAATCAAGAAGCCAATGTAAAAACAGCGGCGTTCCCCTTTAAGGCTGAGTTTTGTCCAACTCAGTCTGACAGAAGAACACAATACAAAAGGAAAAATGTTACACTGTGACATTTGACTGTTAAAGAATTAATAGGTAATATAATAATAATAATGACACCTAGTGTTTCAAATTATAGGAATACACAAGACAGCCTTTCAGGTTACCAAGACAAGAGAGACCAAGACATAGTGCTGCTACATTTAAGATGGATGAAGAGGATTCAGCCACAGATTGTTGAGCAAATAGTTTTATAGGATGCCAAGTCTTCCTTAGCTCTAACTTATCATGGACCTTTAACATGAAACTCACAGAGGAGCAACTGCTCTCCAAAAAGTTGTTGGACATTTACGAAATATGTTTTCCTGGAAATTTTAAAAACAAAACTGTTAAGGATCTTGATAACAGCTGGACTTCATCACACTAACTTTGCAGGATTGACAATTACCTCCATCTAGTGGTAGACTTTTGGAATAGCCTCAGATTCACAGTTGGTATTGAAATTATCTAATTGTGAATCGATTTCATTTAAAAAAACAAAAAACAAAAGCTGTTTTGAACAACAATTTACAATAACTAAAACATGTATAGGCCACAAATAAAAAATAAAGATAGTACACTGAAATTCAATCAATAAAAGCAGAATAAATTACAGTGACATGGTTTCAGTAAAACAAAAAGAAATAACAAATCACCTATGTCAAAATCTGCTAACAATAGGTGCACCTATTGTTAGCGGATTTTGTCCCATGCAGGCCTCTACTGCAGCACAGGCCTGCATGTGACAGATTTTCAAGTCCCGCTCCCACAAAGAATGATGATTTTCAGTCCCACTCCCGCCCAAATTCCAGACGCATGAATCCGACGTTCGCCTACTGCTCAAGGCAATTCGTGTCATTAGTTTGAGGAATGAAAAACGTGTGCTTAGCTGAACACATTGTTGGCCGATTCTTCACCGCATAGTGCGTGTTGGGTGGCACGAGCTGCTGCTTCACAGCAATACCCAGCTAACCTACCAAAATCTACTGCGGATATTGTTTTTATAATCTTATATGCCACTCATCATCACGTTATTGTATTAAATAAAAATATAATAAGTTATAATTAATCATTTTAAACCTGTATGATGGAGCCCCACCCCGCACATTGTGATGTATATATGTGATAGAAATAGTCTCATAATTTATTGTACATTTTAAAATATGTTTTTAGTTCGTGGGACTGTCGCTTATCACTGTTCCGGCCCGCAGCCGCAATGAGCTTTCAATATTTGTCCCACGCCGCACTGCTGTGCTTTTGGTCCCGTTGGTCCTGAGGGACTCCCGCGGGAGTGCAGTGCACTACATGCCAGTAACATTACGCCACATGATTGTTGCCAAATGATGTAAAACAGTCAAAACAGATGTAAGCAAGGATAATAACATAATGCAGCATGCGTGTGCAAGTCTGAGCTAGATGGGGGGCCAGAGTTGGCCATGGCCACCCTTAGCCAACCATTGGCCACCCCTACCATTTATTCCCTCTAATACAGATGGTGAAAGCAGTTTTACTCTCAAGAAGAAAATTCAAAACAATACATTTTTTGTGGATAATTATCAATATACTAACATCAAAGATGATAAGTACAGAATTCGTGCTCTTTTCATAATTAGATGTTGCGTTATTTGGGGTAAAGAGAAAACTATGTGTCTCTGCAAATCATCTAGGATTCTTCAGTGAAATAAAAGATAAATAAAAGTTTTAATAAAGACTTATCAAATAATCAATTTATGTAGATATTATTGCTTTTAAATATCAATTTAATGCAGAATGCTTATTGCTACAAGTAGGTAAGTAATGAGAATGGAAAAGATTTACGCCCCAGATGTTAAAACTGAAAGAATTTTATCCACTATACCTTTGATTTAGAAATTACAGATGTTTAAATATATGCGTCTATTTGTTAGCAAAGGCTGTAGGAAAGTATAGTTTGTCTTTATTTAGAAAATATGGATGTTTTGCTCATTAATTTTCCTGTTGGAACAGTGTAGAT